CCACAGAAATACAAGCTTACAACAATTTCGAGAAAAATTCGTCTGTAGCTGTACATGTATAGGAAAAAAGCCACAATACTGATTGGGACAAGATTTCTGTTCTGAAATTTAATATGAACAAATGGAAAGAGAAACTAATAACGTAATCTATATATTCATTAAGGTTACACCGCATACCCGTAACATGAACGACTCAGCAAAACTGTCAGCCACCTTGAATACATTGAACACTCAGGGTACGTCGCAGTATGAGCTCTATGAGGTATGATGTTGGAATTCCTGCGTTTACATTATGTAAGTCTGTGTGATTACAAACAAAGCATACAGTTTCATTTAATGGAACAGTGGTAAAAAGTGGGTATACATCAAGTGATAACATAGTTTCGCCAGTAACATCAATATCATTATCGCAATTAACAAATTCAAAATTATCATGAAAAGAAAAGATGCAGATGTGCCTTCTTAATGGTTCCAAGAGTTCTGATCTCCATTTTGCGACATAATGATACTAAAAACTTGCCATGTCTAAAATGGGACACATGGGTAATCCAGATTTTCGGCAGGCCATGGAGTGGAGAAATGATTGATCCTGAAGGTCTAAACCTTTCATGTAGCTTGGTTGTCTATAGTGTATCATTTTTCATTCGTTCCAGAACCTGTGCGATTTGTTCTTCCATCATTTCCGTCTTGTTTTTCTCACGCTTAGGTTTCTGAAATTTTGTCTTATCTAACAGGATGTTTTGCATTTTGTCAACATGATCTTTCCGAACCATTGTTACAATCCCTGCACCTCTATCTGCTCGTGTTAGTAGGATACTCCTCATTTTTCTTCAACTCCTTTAATTGAATGAACTGTTCCTTCGTGAGATGCCTGGAGCAGTTTCGGTTTTGATTCCATAAGCTGATGATTTAGAATGATTTAGGTCTTTGAAGTCAGGTCCTTTGTCTTATTGATCAGATTTTTAAACTGAACCTAATCGTGCAGTGCCCTTTCATTCGATTGACGGGATACAGAATTTCGAGCTGCACGATAATATTTCCACCTGAATAAGACTCAAATTAATCGAGAAGCAGTTAAAAAAAATATATTTCATGGTGTTTCGGGAATTTCCCCTTGATTCGGCAGGTGTGTACCTACCTATTCTTTGCATGATATTTTTGAATTTGTCAATTGCATTAGTCATACTAATGGTACTGGGGAAACTATGTTATCACTTAATGTATGCTTGTTGTAAGAGCTGGGTGTTAGTCAAAATTGGTGGACAGTAATTTACTTCAATGTTTGGTCGTGAGAAAAATGAGAAGAAAGGCTTTGCGTAGGCGGATACAGTTAACATATAGATGACCTGATATTCAAAAAACAGTCACAGAGAGATACAAGGTCAACTTTCTGTGAGAAACAACCAATCAGAAGAGTGTGTTTGTTTGCTTGAATAAGCTATAATAATGTACATGAAAATATATAAATACGTGTTGATTTCCTTAATAAACGATCTGCTGCCTGGCCCTTGTCTTCTGTTGTTACAAATTAACATAGCTCGATGAAAAAGGTGATGGCTTGGTGTATGCGTAACACATATCCTAGCTATATATCTCAATCTATATAACTTCAGGACATCATCGATTAACACCCCAGCCCCCGCACCCCGTTCTTTATCCAGCACTCGACGCCTAACCTCAATACTGTTTAACGCGGTAGACAGAACCCAAGCACCTCTGGTTAAAGACAATTAGCCTCTTGTTATCTTCCAATTTCAAAAGACATGTCTCGCAGCCATAAAGAACAGCTTCTTATAAGGATAAAACTCGGGCACTGTAATGTACATGAAAATCTATAAATATGTGCTGATTTCCTTAGTAAAAGATCTGTTGACTGACCCTTGTCTTCTGTTGTTACATGCTCACTTTTTACCACTGTTCCATTAAATGAAACTGTATGCTTCGTTTGTAATTACATAGACTTACATAATGTAAACTTAGGAATGCCCAAATCACACCTAAAAGAGTTCATACTTCGATGTACTCTCAATGTCCAGTTTCTTTTCACCGATGAAATCTATAGACAGAGGGGTGGGGGGGGGTAACTATGGGTTCCCCACTTGGTCCGTTGCTAACAGACTTCTTTTTCGCTGTGGTGAAGAGTAGTACTCTCACACTTTCTATAATTGGGCTTAACCCCCACAAGAGATACGTGGATGACACGTTCATTATGTGTGATGAGAACCTGGAATATAATTTTGGATACACAAAAAATGAATGAACTATACGTATGACTACAAATCTTAAATGTATGAATTAAAAAATTAAAACAATGCCGACGGTTGGCGTGATCACTGTCAGTCATTTTTCTCGTAATATTACCAAAAAAAACTTATCAGAGTGTAAATCTATTGCCATATAATTATAATTAATTTGAAAAATTAATGAAGTCCCTAACGCGACAGCTGATGTAACTAGTTCCACGGGAGCAGTCAGATCGACAGATACAGAAAGAGACGATTAGCATGAATATGTCGTCTGCCAGTTTGGGGATCACAACCAGGCGCTGCAATTTACCGGCACTAAAATTTCTTTGGATTGATTTTCTGAACTTGTGGGTTATTTTGCCCACTTCGTACATCACCTCCTTTGAGTTACAATCGCATATGGAGAGGCTTCTTGTTTACAGGATACAGAAAATTTCTTTTCGACTTTCTTGGCCATATTTTTCCTCATGAATTTTTTTGGATACCTATTCTCAATCAAAGCGTCAATATACAGTCTTAAGTGCACGGTAGGACATATTGATGTTAGGTAGGGTTAGTCAAGTGATCTGGTTGTGAAGCTTCGTCGATTAAGACGGCTACGATGCGTGCTGTACACGACGAGCCACTGCCTTCCTGAGAAGTGTTAGCTGACATGGGATTAGGTTGGAAAAGAGTTAGAGGTGGTCAAACCAAAACTTGGGGTTAACTCACAAAATTTTTGACATTCAATTCGAATGACGTATAGCGTCAGACAGTGGGAAACGAGAAGACAGGGATATCCTGGACCGACGTGAAGAACCTAGAAGACCTGGATTTCGCGCGTGGATGATTTATGTTTGATGTCACACAAAATCGAAGATTTAGAGGCAAGGGAAAACCGACAAACTGGTCGAAGAAGTAGCCGGTGAAGACAGGACTCCAGGTGAACATAGACAAGACGGAGGTCATGAAAATAACCAACCAACAACAACAACAGCATCCAACGTCAATCACCATCAACGGGAGGGATTTGAAAGAGGTTACTTCATTCACTTCACTTATCTAGACAGCATTGTCTCAACTACAGGAAGTCGGAACGGACGAGGATGTCAAATAGAGCGAGAATCGGAAAGGCGAAAAACACATTCATCAACCTGGAACCAATCTGGAAATCTTCGTCACTCAGCCAGCGTCAACAACAAAATTCAGTCGGATTTTCAATACAAACGTCAAGTCAGTTAGTTCTTCTTTCTATGCGGATCAGAAACTTGGCGGGCGGGCGGGTCACAAAGAATATTTCCAACAGCCTGTTGCAGACCTTTATCAACCAACAACTGTCTTCGCTGGATCTATACTGAAGATCAGATGGCCGGGCCGGAAAGAATCACCAACAAGAAACTATGGTAACAAACAAACAAAACAAGAAGCAATCGCCAACCAACAAATATGCAGGAGGAAGTGGATGGAGATGGATTGGACACTCGCTGAGGAGGCCGCCACTGGGTGACATTGCATGCGCGTCAGGCCATTGTCTATCTGTCTTTGTCTGTTTTCGACATAGAACTTTGCACAAATGTACGGAAGTTCAAGTCGCCACACTAGTCGCGTCAGGCCATTGCTCGAGTGGAACCAGGCCGAAAGGGAAGCGGCGAGTGGGACGTCAGTGCAAGGGTGACATGGAGGAGATAGTGTGAAGAGGAGTTGAAAGAGTACGGACTAACATGGATGCAGGTGAGAAGTACAGCAGAAGACAGAAGCAAGTTGAGAGGTGCAGTTGAAGCCCTAAGTTCCACTAGGAACCCAAGGGAACAATAATAATAATAATAATAGTGATGTAGAATACTCCTGAAGCAAAATGTTCTATTGAGAACACAAGCAATCAATGAGAATAACATTATAGTTAATATAGCGGTGTCTATTATTTATGTGATGAATCACATCAGTTGATCAGATTGTCCTGGGTCTATATCATTGTCTGATTTCTGCAATTTGCGTAAATACAGCTCGCCTTGTAACCGGAAGGTCGTGAGTTCGAACCCAAGTGAATATGTGCTAATGAAGAGTCCTCAACTAGTGGGACGAAACAGCTAGCAAGGTGATCAATAAATGTAGATACTGGCTCATATTTCCATTTGAAAAAAATAGAAGTGTTAGGCAGAAACAACTTTCCAGTATTGTCTCTAACTGTCAGTTATCAATCCCTGATAAAACTTGAAACCAATCAAATGTCTACAAGCTAACGCCCGGAAATTATTCTAATACTCAATAGTAACTGACTACTGGACGATGGTGCCTGGTGGAAAGCTGTGACCAGTGGAGTCCACCAGGTCGGGGGTCTAAGAGCAAATACTAGCCGGTAATATTGGCTGGCGGTGACGTTGACAATTGAGCCACTCGACTCCGTTCGATTGGCTGGATGGTCAGGATGCTCACCCCATAACCTGTGTGTGTGTGTCCGAATCTCGGTAATGAAGTTGGTAATGGGCGCGTACTGATGAAGAGTTCCGAAATGGAACGAAACAGCTGTTCAATACTCACTCAGTAGTTCTGTATCCGATATCGACCCGTTATCAAAACACAAAAGTGTACATTTTATCATGGGCTGGCATTGGTTAGAGAACCATTGGAAAACCAACAGAGAGTACTAGACAGCTGTTTCGTCCTAGTTTGGGACTCTTCAGCAGTACGCGCTCACTGGGGTGCTCGTAGACCATTAAAAACCACTGGGATTCGATCCAGTCGCCCATGAATGGTTCTCTAACCAATGTCAGCTCATGATGAAACCGTGTAACCAATCAATCAAATCCCTACAAACCAACACTTGAAGAAGTATATACATCTTACAGAGAGTTTTCGATTTCCATCAACGTTACAATAACTTGACTTTTACTACTGTACATAGTTAATTAAATACAATCGAACTGTGTATAATAAACACCTTGTAAGAAGTCGATGCTTTTCATTTTAGGGTAATATTTTTCTCCAACGAATAAAGATTATAAACAAAAAGGGATTATCTCATCGTCATTATTAATTTGTTGTTATTATTGTCAGAATGTATCCTATAAATTAGAAGCTGGAATGTTGAATTTCAGCTTATGATTGTCGAATAACAATAGAAATTGAGCCAATCTTTCGTGAATTATATCTACAATAGTAAAAAAAAACACAACGATAACCAAATATACAAAGCGAATAGTGCATTAAAACTTTTTAAGCAATAAAAAGACTAGTGTTGCAATAGGAAGTTTCAGTTGTATGAACAAGACTTCCGTGGACTGGCTGAAACAATCGCATGATTCCTGTAGTAATAATATTGACGGGACTGTGATGATGGGGAGTAATAAATCAAATATCTCTTTCATTTATTTCGGTATCAGATCCTCTTCGGTTGGTTATGTCATATCCTGTGGATTTCTTCGTTTGACTTATGAGACAATAAAGAAGTTGAGACTTTCTGCCGGCGTAATATTCAACCTCACCACTTCTCTTACAATTTATTGATTCATGTATTCTGCCAATTTTATTTCTTTATTTTGTTTGCCTCAATTATTCTTCCCTGGACTTCTCAAAAAAGACTATATCATGTTGTGGCGAGTGCTAATAATAAGGTTTAATTTTAATTTAATTTTGATTACAGCTTGATGCCACACCGTATTTTCGGTAGAAGTACGGAATTTTAAGTATGGTATAATAACGTGAGCAATATTGAGGTGAGGCTTCGGTCTAGTGCTAGGTAGGTGGGAGGAGAAATCAATCGACGAGGCTGTGAAGCTACATCGACTGAGATGGTTACGACATGTGTTACGTATGCCTAGTCATCGCCTTCCTCGACAGTGGGCAATGTTAGCTGACATAGGATTAGTCAGGCTGGAAAAGAGCTAGCGGCGTTCAAACCAAAGCATGCCTTCATCAATCAATGAAATCCACAACAGTTAGTTTCAGCCACGTAGGAAGGTGTGGACTTCCTGACTGGTTGGGATCCTCAGGACGGTAAAAATCATGGTTGGAAACAGTCGGTGATATGGCTCAAAATCGTTCTCAATGGCCGGGTGCAGATGCATCCACTCCTTGTGACTTATGATTTCTAATGAAACTATATTGTTCTTCGTTATTACTATTCCTTTGTCTCACACCTTCGTTTACTGTCTCTATCATGCATTTCTTCTACTTTCTTCTCTTGCTTTGTGTGCTACAAGGAAGGAGTGTGGCGACTCAAACTGTCGCACATTGGTGCCAAGTTCTATGTCAAAAACAGACAGACAGAAAGAACTATGGAATTTTCAGCATGTGATATCGGTAGCCCACATTTTGCAGGCCGACCACAGGTATCGGGTGTGCGTCGACAGGATCGAATCCCGGACCATGTGCATAGTCGGCGAGAGTCCTAACCACTGTGCTACCGAAGTACAGTAGCATATAAGGAGACGTTCATCGGCATAAAAACACCGAATAGCAGTAAGATACAGTTGATTTCAGAAAAAGCAAGTGGTACAGCGTTGTGGAGATATGTTGCAAAAGTGAAAGGAACACAAAGAAGCACAATACGAAGTCCAGAAGTACCACAACACGAAGATCTGTGTAAGTGGTGCTTTGAAGGTAAAGTACACATAATTTATCTACACAGAGATACCGAATAGCTAGTAAACATTCCTTTACCAAGTACTCGTCTTCTACTGTTTCCATGTTACGTGGAATACTGACTCAGTTAACTGACACTACTGTCAATAAACACTTCAATTCTTGCAAGCATTTAGCTAGTTATCTAGTCTGATACTGAATATCCTCTTCAATCTCAGCTTTCTCCTTGTATCTTGACCTAATTTTCTACATGTCCGCTTGTATTTCTCTCATGCTACTTATGATCTTTGGGCTAAGTTAAAATTTAAGCACCACTAACTACAACCAATAGAGTGCGACCGCACCAATGACCTTGAAACGCCCAATGAGCAAGTTACCGAAACCTGGAAAAAACTTTGTCATCATCAATAAAATATCCTCATCAAAGTGTTATGCTATTGTAAATGGGATTCCTAGCAAGTTGCGCCTTAGGTTAGGGAAAGATTAAGTCAAGGTTTAGGCCAGTGACAAGTTAGGGTTAGGTTGACCTATTAAAGGTGACATTAGCGTTAGTTCAAGTTAGATTACAGTTAGTTTAGGGATATTTCCTAAATAATGACATGCACAGAATGTGATTAAATTACTCTGTTGATATAAGAATAGAACTTGTGCACTGTGGCGGTAGAGCATAATCCCATTGTGGGTAAAATCTATTTTGATAAATTCTCACAATATTATACAGTAACATTTACTGATGACAATGTTTCGAGCACAGTTTATTGCCCAGTAAATATCACTATATAACACCGTGAAACAGTATTATTACATACTGGATGACGTTTCGAACAAAATTTATTGTTCATAATCATATCAATTGTAATCACATGACTTTGAAACTTGAGTTTTATAGTTTTCTTTGTCTTCTCCTATTTGTCGTCGCAGGGGTAGTAGAATTTTCCGGATATCTGGGACAGGTGTTGAATCATTCCTGTTACATGTATTCTCTTCAGTTGATTCGATAAACAAAGCTTCTGTTATCAATCTCTCCCTCCACCCTGTGACATTAGATTTTAAAACTGTCATCCTATCCCATCCAGTCTATTGTATGGTTGTGTGTGACTGCATTTAATGCTATGGCTGAACTGTTCTCTAGATTTCTTATCTTATTTGGGTCAACCAATCTAGATTTCGCTAAGTTTTATGCTCCGCCAGCCTGACTGCCCCTGTTCTACTACTTTGACCAATGTATGTGACTTGACAATCAATGCAGACAGGGTATTAGATAAACTAAATTGTTTTGTTTGAAAGGCTCCACAGGATCCTTTAACCGACAAAGTTTGTTTCTAATTGAGTTTGTAGGTTTGAATGCCACTTTTATTCCTCCCAGGATTGTTAAGAATTCTGCGTAAGGCTTCCGAGGTTCCTTCCTTGTATGGAATTACTGTTGATGATTTAGGTTCCTTATTGTTGGTGTCGTCATTAATATTATTATGATTATTATCATTATTAGTGTTGTCATTATTATTATTATTGTTATCACTATCATTATTTATTTTATTTTTGCGTTTCATTACATACTTCTTGACTAATTTATCCGGATAATTATTAAGTTTTAAGGTTTCTTTGATAACAGAAGCTTTGTTTATCGAATCAACTGAAGAGAATACATGTAACAGGAATGATTCAACACCTGTCCCAGATATCTGGAAAATTCTACTACCCCTGCAACGACAAATAGGAGAAGACAAAGAAAACTATAAAACTCAAGTTTCAAAGTCATGTGATTACAATTGATATGATTATGAACAATAAATTTTGTTCGAAACGTCATCCAGTATGTAATAATACTGTTTCACTGTGTGATATATCTAATAAACAAACTAATATGGAATTAATTACTACCACAGTGCCCAAGTTTTAGACATATATTACCGTGAGACTTTGTCAAAATAAATTTTACCCACAATAGGATTATACTGTGTTGATACTCCAACCTAAAACTGAGAGTTATTTTTATGAAATGTGAGGGGAAAGTATCCTGTGTAGCACTATTATACAGTCTTTAATACATCTTTTTCATAAACATGTGTGTAATCCATACACAAATATGCCTCCTTCAAGCGATTGGTGCGTTCGAGATCATTCACTGATTGGCAGTTGGTGGTGCTTAAAGTTTAACTTACCCGATATTTGAAATCCTATTGTTTGTTCACTCTGTTAATTTACCAATAACGTTAGTGCTTATCAAGGTCATCTTAAACGTATATATACACAAGCGCCATCAACCTTTTTGGCTGTTGTTTGAGACAGTAAAATATCTCTTCTTATCGACGTCCAGTGTTTCTTCTGCCTCTGCGTCTCACTGGTGTTACTGTTGTTGACGTGCGATTAGAAGAGATTAGCCAGCGCATCAAGTTATTATTCGCTCCTGGTCTACTAGGTCATAGTTCTGGTCATGAAATATCTTTTTGCGTAAAACCAAAAGAAACTTCATGAGAATTTATGCTTATATAACTGAATCTAAGAATTCTACCATACCACATAACTTAGCACGGATTTTTTGTGAAGAGTCAGATGTCAGAAAAGAACTTATAAACTTTTTATATCAATAATCTGAACTGCAAAGTATAAGCAAAGATTACTATTATTTTTAAAACAATTAGTTCCCTTTATGAATTTAGATAAAGCAATAAGAAGATGTAATTTGTATGAATCGTGTAATGTGTATTTACGTGCAACACATTTCGAACAATCTGATCATACACGAACTTGCAATAGGAATATATATCAAATTAATAAAGAGGTAAGAGGTGAGAAAATAGACCACTTAGGTCAAGTCAAAAGGACATATTCAACGTCAAATAACAATGAAGACCACTAAACCAAATAGCAGAGGTAATAGTACATCTGCTATGGTATCAAAAAGAAGTTTACCAAGGAAGGTTAAATGTGACGACGAATTATTTTTGAACGCATGGAGGTGATTTAAACTTCCTAATTGGATACGCCCTCCTCCAAACACGTTTTATGGATGGATAGGTTTCAAAGATCTGTTAACGTCAATTTTATGTCCTCTATCTCTATAATATGTTTCACAATAGAAGAGCTAAGTCTCCTGTTCTCACCATTAATGGGTTCTGAAGATTCCATTTGTTTTTGAAGCCATTTAAGCATATGCTCTGAAGCCAGCCCATACTTGCACATATCGATGAGTCCTCCAAATGTATGTGTGTCCACATGTACATTCAAATAGGTAAATACAGTGGGATGTGACGTCAATTTTCGCATGTTCAAAGGGCTTAGATAGATAAAATTTTGCTTCACATTCAGCATTATTATTATTAGTATTATTACATGTATTATCTATGATACTGTAACAGTGTGTTATAACTCCGTTGTCAATTTGTTATAACTGAACTGAATAAATCCGTCACTAGTTTGTTATGTCTGCGCCACTGCTAATTGTTATAACGGTACTGAACTCGACTATTCGTGTGTGCGCCTACCTCCCACACCTCACTGAGCCACGCAAATATATGAGAAGACAAAGACTGGTCTATGAATCTAAGACACTGTATATAGCTCTCTCTATTAGCAAACAACACATCAAAGCTATGCATTTTCTCTACCACAATACAGTCGCAGCTAACACCCATAGGAATGGATTGTTCTTATTGGTTGGCGATCTGGGAAAGATCAAGGTGAGACAAAAGATGATGAACCGGTCACACAATAAATCACAATATGCGTGAGAAATGATGCATTCACAAGGTAGGTAGGTATCTCTATCACAAGATAAATCACATGATTCGTGGGAAAGGATGATATACTATTTTATTCTGTGTCCTATCAAACAGCAGAAGGCAAGGTATATTTTCAAGTGATCGAATAGCTATTTATATATGTACAGTTTATATTCTTTAATCAGTCATTAAGCTTGTGATTTTGGTTTGCATTAAACGACGCGAAATAGAATGTTCAAATAAACACATATAATAATATGCAATTAATAGTGTTCTCTGAGCTGATTGATTTAGCTGCGGAGCTTTCGTCGTCTTTCTGGACGACATCTTCAGCGCAGTATTTAGGCTAAAGTGAAATGATTTAAATTTCTTTATGAGTGATAGATATAATGGCGTCAGGTGCCAGGGAATTCCTAGAAGCCTGGCAGTCAAACGAAAATGCAATTAATAAACACGTTAATATAGATGAAACATATCAACTAATAAAAAGTAAATCAGATGACCAGAAAGTTTAAAGTCCCAATGAATAGAAAACGGTCAATACATATCTAAAGATGGTTACCGAGAGACGCAATTATATCTATCACTCATGAAGAAATTTAAATCATTTCACTTTAGCCTAAATACTGCGCTGAGATGTCGTCCAGAAAGACAAAAGCTCCGCAACTAAACCAATCAGCTCAGAGAACACTATTAATTGCAAATCATTCACCTGAGTTACAAATCTTTTCTATTACATATATAGTATTCTGTTGCCAATGCACTATTGAAGTGTGCGAATAGTATTCAGCCGATAATACCAACAAATACACTGATTCTTACTATGAGAATAATATTCCATTGGAACCCATTGGTCTGTATCACACCACCACAATACTTACTATCTGCTCATACTTCATTATGCTTCCACCAATATTCTGTTGTTTATAGTGGTTTCATTATTAATATTTATTGTTATAACTATTACTGTTTAAAACTTTATGTTTGTTGCAATATATATAAAAACGCTGAAAATTCCATTCTGTATTATCATTATTACTGTTTAGAACAAAACGATTATTCAAGTGTTCGTTTGTAGGGATTTGATCGGTTACAGGATTTCATCATGAGCTGACATCGGTTAGACAACCATTGGAAAACTAGCTGGGAGTATTAGACAGCTGTTTCGTCAACCTAATTTGGGAGTCTTCAGCAGTACGCACCTGCAGGGGTTCGAACCCGGGTCCTTCCGGTTACAAGGTGTCACCAGTAGGGTGCAGCATGTTGGGTGTCACGACAAATACTCGCTGAAGACATTGGCTAAGGGTTGTGCTGTGTCGTGAATTGGCAAAAGTTAAAATTCATTCACTGACCATTGGATCGGGTCCCAGTGGCTTAATGGTATACGAGCTCATCTTGTAACCGTAAGGTCCTGGGTTTCGAACCCTGGTGGTGGTTGCGTACTGCTGAGGAGTCCCGAACCAGGACGAAACAGCTTACTGACCAGTACTCCCTATAAGTTTTCCAATGGTTTTCTAACTAATGTCAGCTCATGATGAAATACTGTAAAGCGATTATTATCATTTATCTGGTTGGAAGGAATGATTTAGCATGCGGTCAAAGTCGACTTAACTTATGTCTTATAGAAGTCACAATTTTATAAGGTGCACACGCTGACTCTGTCTTCCAGATAAATATTTCTTCACAAACCAGCATTAAATATTTTTTTTCCTTCACGTTCCCAGTGGAACATAGGGCTTCAAGCTAGTGACTTGAAGTTTCTGTAGCAGTGTTTAATTTTACAGGATGGGGTTGCTAGCCCCATGCCCATTCTTTCCTCTTCACCAGCTTTACTTCTGGCTGAGTGAGGTAAAGGAGTGCACCGGCCGGGGATCGAACCCCAGACAATAAGCATGGTCGGCGAGCATCCTAACCACTGCGCCACCGACACACTAGCATTAAATATGGGACTTGTAAAAAGTTAATGACCGATTCACACTACCATCATAGAATATTATGGGTGGATAAGTGTTGCTGAAGTCCACTCAATTGACTCAACCGCCTATTAACTGAACTCTCATGAGGAATTATGTAATGATGAAAATTATATTGTTATCTAGTTGGAAAGATTTGATTTTAGTTAGTTTTTTTTTTAAGTTAATGTGTTGATACTATTTGTACTTATAAATAAAGGAAATAGAAATAGATAACCTTTTCTATGAATGGTTAGCTTACTGACTCGATGGTTGTGAGCTCAATCTGCTATTACAATGGATACATTAAAAAGCATATTGACTACCTCTTTAGGAAACTGATGTGAAATAATTATCATTATTATCATTATTCCGAGTGGAGGATAGGGCTTCAGAAGCATTCCACCATCATTTTACTCTGTTGTCTACAGTCTTTTGAAGCTGGGTCCACGAGTGCCTATTAACTTTCATTTTCCCCTCACACGATCTTTCTTCATGTGTCACCCACCGAATATCCATGCCCCACTCGTCGTTTCTCATTCGGGTTCCATTTGACGGCCTGATGAGTAATATTATTTGTAGGTCTCCTCAGCGTAGAGTATGTCTAGCCCGTTCCCATTTTCTTCTACGTATTTGTTGGTTAGTTGGCTAGCTACACTGCTATTTTCATTTTTATTGCTTTACGTTCCCAGTGGAACATAGACGGCGGCTTCAAGCTAGAGGCTTGAAGTTTCAGTAGCAGTGGTGTTTATCTTTATTTTTTTTATTTTATTTTATTTTTTTGATTTACAGCTTGATTCCACACTGTATTTTTGGTACAAGTATGGAATTTTCAGCATGGATATCGGTAGCCCAAATTCTGCAGGCCGACCATAGATATCAGGTGTGCGTCGGCGTGGGATCGAACCCCGGACCATGTGCATGGTCGGCGAGAGTCCTAACCACTGTGCCACCGACGCACAATGGGAAGGGGTTGCTAGCCAGCCTCATGCTCAGCTCAACCTTGCCTCTTTACTAGTCTTATTACTAGCTTAGTGAGGTAAAGGAATGCCTCGTCGGCCGGGGATCGAATGCCAGTGGCGAGCATTTACCGCCGTGCCACCAACGCACAAACACTGCCATAGTTCTAGCCACTTGTTCTTCTCTATGCAACGAAGGTAATAGTTGATAAAAAGTATACAGCTGCTTGTTGGCAATGCTTTCATGAGACAGGCGCACATCGAGTGTCTCTGAACCATATGTAGAAGCACTAAGTGATCTGACATTAGTTTTGAAAGTCAGAATCTCGTTCTTTATTCTCTGGGTGTGTGTGTGTGAAGCAGATTTTCACATTGATTTCAGAGCAAATGAATCCTTGTGCTGTCTTGCTCTTACAATCCTGAGTGGTTTCAACATCCTATTGATGTGGAAAGTGGTAAGTAACGTAGCTTCAATCCTCAATTAACGTTAAGGATTAAAGGTGTATATATATCTAGTGTTGTGCTGATAGTAGGAGGAAAAGACAAAATTATGAGACAAACCAAATGAAATCAATTCAAGTGTTCGTTTGTAGGGATTTGATTCGTTACAGGATTTCATCATGAGCTGACATCGGTTAGACAACCATTGGAAAACTAGCTGGGAGTATTAGACAGCTGTTTCGTCAGCCTAGTTTGGGACTCTCCGGGATTCGAACCCAGAACCTTCCGGTTACAAGGCGAGCCACTGGGAGGTGATCCAGTGGCCAGCCCATGAATTCTAACTTCTGCCAATTCACGACACAGCGCGACCACTAGCCAATGTCTTCGGCGAGTGTTTGTCCTCACACCCGACCTGCTGCACCCTACTAGTCACGACTTCTCACTAGAACCCCAGGTGACTACCTACTTGAATAGGGCAAGTCGCTAGTGAGCATCTCACTGATATTCAAGTGTTGGTTGTTAGGGGTTTGATTGGCTACAAGATTTCATCATGGGCCATCGGATCGGGTCCCAGTGGCTTAATGGTATACGAGCTCGCCTTGTAACCAAGAAGGTCCTGGGTTCGAATCCCTATGGGTGGGTACTGATGAAGTTCCAAAACTATGACGAAACAGCTTTCCAGTACTCCCAGCTGGTTTTCCAATGGTTCTCTAACTAATGTTAGCTCATGATAAAATCCTGAAAGCATTTAAGTTTACAAGGGATATCGATTCCCCGGTATTACATAAAACGTCGATTTTATACTTGCCAACGTTATTTCTTTAAACCATCTGTCATACATTTCATGTTCTATTAAAGTAAATACACGAAACGTGAAGAACAGGATGTGTAGAAATGCACAACTAACCTACTTCAGGGAGCTTCGGTGGTTCATTGTGGTGTAATACTCCCCAACCACTCACATGTAGTCAGACAGATTTCGATCCCCAGGTGACACATACACTTCTACACCTCGTTTTTTTTAAATATTCCTTCATCTCTCCAGTGGAATACAGGGCTTCAAGCTAGAGCTTTGAATTCTCAGTAGTAATGTTTTCTACTCAATTTCACGGTCTGTGGTTGCTAACTTCACGCCCAATCTTTCCTCTCTATCAGCCTTACTACCAGCTTAGCGAGGTTTAGGAGTGCGCCAGTGGCCGGAGGATCGGACCTTGAACCACATGTGGCGTGGTCGGCAAGCATTCTACACCTTTGAACCACCACATTCACCTCGCTTGGCCTATTGTAAACCAGATAAAGAGGTGAAGTTCGCCGTGAGGTTGGCGACTCCATCTTGTAACGACACCACCACGACCGCCACCAATCGTCACTGAAGCTTCAAAATCCATTCAGAACATGAAAAGGAATGAAACAAAAAATGGAAACAACTTACTGCAAACAAAACAAGTAGGAATAGTTTTCAGACTTGATAACAACTGTCCAATACGTCGTATATCTAAACTGACTGAAACAAATTTTTTATTTGGATTTTCATTCTGCGATCTGTCCATATCAACATCGTGATTATTCTGCTGTTGATGATGAGAATTGGATTCCCAGGTGACACTACGAGCATCATCCATAGAATCATTAATCTCTGTAGGTGATTCTTCTGCCATCCAACTACGTGCTTTTAAACCTCTAAAGGTCAGTTTAACACAAGCAAGCGTTTCAACATTGACACCGAAATTTAATTCCCCTGAACCATTAGCGCTGATTATCTATGGGAAAAAACGATCAAATCACATCAAAATAAATAAATAAATAGATAAATAAATAAATAAATAAAGATCAAGGAAAAGAAAGTTGAGTAGAGAAGAATTATACACACATAAAGGCTAAGGAGATGTACTATGCTCAAAAAGACTCTAAAACATCTGGATTTTGCGAACAATTTATGTGCAGGGTCACACAACACCCACCCCCTGCCCCCACCCCCAGGAAAAAGGTAAACAGGATAATTACTATTGATTGAGAGAAGTAACTGTTTATGATAGCCATAGTAGAGACAAAGGCGGTTGGACTTATTTCTGTAGTGAGAGCTGTCTACAAGCCAAAATTATAGACAACAATTTACACCTATGTTTACGTCCCGAATCGGGGTCATGAGAAAAAAAAACACAAGAACACAACCTAACCTTGAGGAACTCAACAACAAATCACTCCTTGTGACTTATGATCTCCAATGAAACTGTTTTGTTTTTCTTTATTACTTCTTTGTCTCACACCTCTGCTCACTGTTTCTATTATGTTTTTCTTGTACTTTCTTCTCTTGCTTCGCGTGCTACACGGAGTGTGGCGACTTGAACTGCCGCACATCGGTGCAAAGTTCTATGTCGAAAACAGACAGACAGTAGCCTAAGCGTGTGCAAGTACGATTTGGAGATATATATGGATAACTTTGTAAGCAGTACAGAATAACCTTAAACAAGCAAAAAACCAATCAGAAGATGTTGCTTCCCTACTAAAATAACTAAGAGTACATAAAAATCGACAAATTTCTCTTGATTTTGTTAATAAATGATCTGCTGCCTGGCCTTTGTCTTCTGTCGTTACATTTCTTTTGGATATATATTCATAGAGTGAGCTTGAACCTTTGGATGGCTAGTGACTCAGATGCCTTGATCTCACATCTTTTTAGAGGTTTGATCACATCTGACAACCACACAACTTTCTTGCTTCATGAGTTCAGATTGATTAGACATTTGCATAGATTTTTACTCATGTGTATATAAATGAAGCAAGAAAGTTGTGTGAGTATTGCCTTGATATATGATTATGAGTGGCAATAATTTATGCTCAAAACGTCATTATGAGTAAATATCACTGTATAACACTGTGTGATTTTATCCAAATAAAATTTTAACCATAATTCAGTTATACTCTACCACCACAGTGCCCAAGTTTTATCCTTATATCAATAACAGGGAGATACATTTGATATCACAGAGAAAGGAAATAATACAGAGTTGCGAAGATAACTGGGAGACATCAAAGAATCACAAAGAAACACAATATGAAGGCCAAAAGTAGCACAACACGGAAAATGTTGATTTGAAGATAAGGTGAACATAATTTCGCTGTATATATAGGTACCAAATTGCAAATAAACATTCCTTCACCAAGTTTCTCCTCTTTCGGCGTTAAAACATTAGCTGTCGAAATACTGTTTGTCTGTTTTCGACATAGAACTTAGCACCGATGTGCAGCAGTTCAAGTCGCCACACTCCCTTCTTGTAGCACACAAAGCAAGAGTAGAAGGTAGAAGAAATGCAGAATAGAGACAGTAAACAGAGGTGTGAGACAAAGGAATAGTAATAACGAAGAAAAATATAGTTTCACTGGAAATCATAAGTCACAAGGAGTGGATATATCCGCGCCAGCCATTGAGAACGATTTTGAGCCAAATCACCAATTGTTTCCAACCATTGGTTTTTACCGTCCTGAGGACCCCCACCAGGAAGCCAGTCTACACCTTCCTACGTAGCTGGTTTTAACTAACTGTTGTAGATTTCATTGACTGGTTCCGTGTTTTGGTATGACCGCCGCTGGCTAGCTCTTTTCCAGCCTGATTCATTCTATGTCAGCTGACATTGCCCATAGTCGAGGAAGGCGATGACTAGGCATACGTAACACATGTCGTAACCATCTCAATCGATGTAATTTCATAGCCTCGTCGATTGATTTCCCCTCCCACCTACCTAGCACTCGACCGAAGCCTCACCTCAATATTGCTCACCTTATTATACTACTTCACACGGGAGATAGAACGCAGGCACCAATGATCAAAGACAGCTAATCTTTTCCTGTCTTCCACTCTCAATGGCCAGGTCTCGCTCACAGCTATAAAGGAGGACGGAGCGAAGTGGCTGCTGAGCAGTACACACGCCTTTTGGTTGATAGCTAGCTGGATATCATGTCTACACCAGAGACGGAGTAAACTGGCATATACGAAACTGGCCCTCTGTATCCGTCCTGAGATTTCATTAGCGATTAACCCGTTGGCGCTGGCTGATGGTACTTCCCAGATAAGTGAAGCGGTCAACGTGCTCTGCCAATTCACTCCCTATTTGTAAACTAGGAGGTATTGTAGTCCAGTCCTGTAGCCTGGTTATCTTACATTTGGTGGGGGCTAATCGGATGCCAAACATTCGTAGATTGCAGCTCAAGGTGTTCAGAAGACTTTGCATTTTGTCAGCGTCCTCGCCTAGAAGGACTATATCGTCTGCATATTCTAAGTCAACAAGATTATTCCCTGGTAGCAAGTCAATCCCTGAGTCCCTGAAGTGACTGTGTAAATACGCGGAATCCTTGTATAAATAAGCACTCTACTAAGCCTGTCTTATACTACTGTAATGGACAGAAACTATGAAGATCTAAATATTCGCTTATCCAGTTAGGCCTTTCTATAAATTGATGGCTTTATTAAGTCTTCGTTTCTTCCACTGAACAGGATGCCTAGGAATGCTAGATGGTTGCATTTTCTTCCTCTCAGGTATGACCTATGTGATTTTGTACAGAGCTGAGATGTTTTTATTTCAAACGATTAGTCCCTTTTATCTGAAAAGTAATGTGATGTATTTGCTCTATACATTTCAAACAATCTGATCACACATTTACTTTTCAAGTCGATATATATGAAAAAGTTAAATTAAACAAAGTGACAAAAAAAGGATTTAAGAATGATTAACACAACGTTTGGTAATCCAATCATATAAGGATTCACAGGGTAGGTTAAGAGCAATAACAAACTAATTTTGAATACACAAGGGGGGACTTAAGGTTATGAATAGCTATAGCCTCAACGTATTTCAGCCAACGCCCTTTGACCGTTTTTATAGATGACCCTGAAGGCTGAGTTAACATCAATCTTACGGTTCATCTCGATTAGATGTTTAGCTATAGACGAATTTGGTAGTCTACCACCTGCATCTATTAGCTTGTCACAATTCATCTGTTTTTCTAACCATTTTTGGGATATGCTCTCCCACCCTCACATGCAAAGCGCGATTACTCCCCTCTATGTATGTGTGTCCACACACACACGAAAATTGGTAAATAGTGTGGGATGTGACATAATCACTTGTGCACTTTTGAGGTTTGCCGTGGAGCATATTTTTAACTTTTCCGACAATTACAAGCTAGGCTGCATAGTAGGTTCTACGGATGATCGAATTCAACCTTTGTCTCACAATCCTACTGTTTATTTCCCCGTTATATGGTAATTTGATGTGATAACATTTTTCTTAGAGGCGGTATGGATTGTAGGTTTAGAGACTAGTTAACTTTTACACCTGTTTAAAAATTTTTAAAGGATATTCCCGTTTTCAACAAGAGTATCCATCAAATATTTCGTTTTCTTTGTCTATAACATCAACCGTAAAAAAACGTTGAATCCTCTTAAATAGACATTTCATCAAGCGCCTCTCTTATACTGTAATAGACAGAAACTGGGAAAATTAAGGTTATGCCCTGTCCAAGTGGGCTTTTTTTATCCTGTAGACCAGTTTCACATCTTCATGATTATCACATATCACAGAAAAACAGTATGAGAAAAAAAAACTGTTGTGTACTGCTGCTGAGTGAGTTATTAGAGTTTTCCCCGTCGCCAATTATGTTATGTACTCGTCGAGTAGTTAATAGTCCTGATACGGAAAGAGGGAAATCAGAAGACCACCAGGTTTACGATGATACTTGTATTATCCAAACAAGGAAGATAAATATCACACAAGAGTGTGAGTGAAATGGTAAGTAGTGTACGAAACGTGGGAAACAAGAAAATGAACAAGAATAATAAAGCAAGAGTATATATGAAAATGGCTAATACACATGAACCAATAAATAAACAGTCTTAACATGATTGGTTGTAATGTCATGTGACAATAAGGTCATACATGTTTATTTAGTTAGTGGACAGACAAAAGCATATCGTTAGTTATAATGGAATATAGATCCATATACACACAGCAAGATATAATAGACTGTCAAAAACAAACACACACATCATGTGGATACATATCAAAAACAGACACAAAAATGCCGTAAATTAAAATTACACTTACAACAAACTTCGCAAATCTCTTCATACGATCAACAAATGGACGTAAAGTTTTCACTGGTGGAAAGAAAATGCTCACCTATTGATGAAATAAAAAAGTGAAGAGGAAAAACAACAAAAAGAGTAAATTAGCCGGGAGCTGATTGGTTGCAGGTTCAGCAGGGGGTATTGAAACAGCTGTTTCATCCTAGTTTGGGACTCTTCAAACGTACACACACACACCACATACATTGGGGTTCGAACCCAAGAGTAAAGATAAAGACGTTAATTTATAATTAACTCAAGGTTAACAGAGAAGTACAACTCAATAACAGTATGTACATTTGGGAACTATGTAACAAGCTGAGTCTACACTCTGGGTTTGAGATAGTGATACTGTAACAACAGAAGACAAGGGTTAGGTAACAGATCGTTTACTATGGAAATCAACACATATGTGTAAAACTTGGGCAACACATATTTATAGATTTTCATGTACATATTATAGATGATTGTTAGCAGAAAAACACAGTCTTTTGATTGGTTGTTTCTCACAGAAAGTTAACCTTGCATCTCTTTGTGGCTGTTTCTTGAATGTCAGATCATCTATATGCTAACTGTAACCGCCTACGCAAAGCCTTTATTCTCATTTTTCTCACGACAAATATTTGGGATATAAACATTGACGTAAATTATTGTCCACCAACTTTGGCTAGCAGCCAGCCAGCTCTCACCACAATACTATGTGAATTCTCGATATTTCAGTTTGACTAAGTTTCGACATAGAACTGTGCAAAGAAATGCACCAGTTTAAGTTGGTACATAAAAATAGGCAAATGAGAGAAAAGCAGGAATTCAAACGAACTTCAATAAGCAGAGATGTGAGGTGATGGGGTGGGAAATATGGCGATTTATGGTATCTACGAGTTTTTATATAAATAGTGAATGCATCTGCGCTATATCACCAAAAGTCTCCAGAAATTAGTTCTTATAGTCTCTTGAAGACTCCAACCGGGTCGTATACACACTTCCATACTTGGCTTGTTCAAATAAACTGTGAAAGACCTCATGGACTGATGTCAGGTTTGGACTTGATTTTCATTCAACGTTTAGTGACTATATTAATACTTTATAACTTTTTTTAAGTGTATAATGTTAGTTCATTTTAAAGGTAGAAAGTTTATTCAAATAAAGTCTCCTATTTTTCCAATCACCATCAGAGAGAGAGAGAGAGAGGGAGAGAAATTTAGTACGGGTTATTTCCTTTACTTATCTAGGAACCACAGTTTTAACCAGATGATAGCACGAATGAAGATATCTGCCAGAATCGGAAAGGCAGGATACGCGCCTTCATCAACCTGAAATCAATTTGGAAATCTTCTGCACTCCACTCAGCCAGCCAGCATACAAAACAAGATTCGGATTTTTAGCACATATGTGAATATACTCAGTCAGAGCTTCTTTTTATACCAGTCAGAAACTTGATACGCGTATCACGAAAAGGATTTCCAACAGGCCACTGAAGACTTTTGTCAACAACTGCCACTTTCGCTGGCTAGCTCCATAATGAAGATAAAATAGCCAGTTGTTCGGTCAGAAAGATTTAGTAACAAGAAACTGTGGCTGGGAAAAAAACCAACAGGCAAGAGTCGATTACTCAACAAATATGTAGGAGAAAATGGAGATGGATCGAGTATGCACGACATCGCTCAAGTAGGATCCAAATGGGAAGCGACGAGTGGGTCGACATGGAAGATATCGTGAGGTGAAAGGTAAATGAGAGATTACGGCCAATCGTAGGGCTAGCTAGAAGAAAACAGAACAAAGTGGAGATGTTCAAGTATTGGTTTGTAGGGAATTTTTTGAATGGTTATAGGATTTCATCATGAGCTGGCATTGGTTAGAAAGTCATTGGAAAACCTGGAGGTACTGGACAGCTGTTTCGTCCTAGTTTTGGACTCTTCATTACTACGCAACCACCGCCAGGGTTCGAACCCAGGATCTTCTGGTCACAAGGCCAGCAAGCTCGTAGACCATTAAGCCACTGGGACCCGATCGAATGGCCAGCCCATGAATTCTAACTTCTGCCAATTCACGATATAGCACAACCGCTAGCCAATGTCTTCGGCGAGTGCTTGTCCTCACACCCGACCAGCTGCACCCTACTGGTCACGACTTCCCACTAGAACCCCAGGTGACTACCTACCGCTTCACTTATTTGGGAAGTACCATCAGCCCCAACGGGCTGATCTCTGACGAAATCTCAGCACGAATACAAGGGGCTCGTTTCGCATTTGTTAGTTTACGCCGACTCTGGCGTAGACGAGATGTTCGACTATCGACCAAAGGGCGGGTGTACTGCTCATCAGTCCGCTCCGTCCTCCTTTATGGTTGTGAGACCTGGCCACTGAGAGTGGAAGACATGAAAAGACTAGCTGTCTTTGATCATAGGTGCCTGCGTTCTATTTCCCGTGTAAAGTGGCATAATAACGTGAGCAATATGGAGGTTAGGCGTCGAGTTCTAGGTAAACAGGGGAAATCAATCGACGAAGTCGTGAAGCTACAAAGACTGAGATGGTTACGACATGTGTTACGTATGCCAAGCCATCGCCTCCCTCGACGAGCTATGTTAGCGGATATAGGGTCAGGCTGGAAAAAAGCTAGCGGCGGTCAAACAAAAACTTGGCACCAGTCAATGAAATCCACAACAGTTGGTCTAAGCCACGTAGAAAGGTGTAGACTTCCTGACTGTTTGGCGTCCTCGGGACGGTAAAAATCTATGGTTGGAAACAATTGGTGACATGGCTCAAAACCGTTCTCAGTGGCGCAGATGCATCCACTCCCTGTGACTTATGATCTTCAATGAAACTGTTTTGTATTTCTTTATTACTCCTTTGTCTCACACCTCTGCTCACTGTTTCTATTATGCTTTTCTTGTACTTTCTTCTCTTGCTTCGCGTGCTACACGGAATGTGGCGACTTGAACTTCCGCATATTTGTGCAAAGTTCTATGTCGAAAACAGACAGACAGACTACCTACCTGAATAGGGCAAGTCACCAGTGAGCATCTGTTTGGTATTTAAGTATTGGTTTGTAAGGGAGATATGTTGTTGAAGTTCTTCGTTCCACTCGGAACTCAAGGGAATAATAATAAATAAATAAATAAATTTTTCCAGTTAGACCTGAGAGTGCTCAGAAATACCTGAGAATACTTAAATGTAGTTATGCAAAATTTGAAATTAACACCAAAGATTCTATAATAGTCACAGGAACTGTTTGGACCGATAACTAGAACTACGTTTCTCTTTGTTCGAAGCAGACAAATCACAAGACGATGTAGATAAAGAATTCCTTACACATAATAGAACGGTCACGATAGGTAGAATATCTATGGAAGGAGAGGGATTTAGTCAATAATCTTGCAAAATATTGTAATAAAATGAAGTGGTTTGACTTTATCATCTGTACTTTACAGTTAACTTACATCTACGTGGTATGCTAGTTAAAATAAAAGAATGTTATTAATTGGTGTTACACAAGGAAAGATATCTAAATCGAGGATCAGTGGGTTCAATGACAGAATGCTCAATAGCCATGTGGGAGATCCGGGTTTGATTTCACATCAGAGTACTCCCAAACCCCCCACTGATCAGCTGGTAGTAAGTTCAGTAAAGAGGCTAGCTTCTTGCTTTTTTTCTTCTTCACGTTCCCAGTGGAACATAGGTACTCAAGATAGTGGCTAGAAGTCCCTGTAGCAGTGTTTAGTTTTTACAAGATGGGGTTGCTAGTCTCATGCCCAACCTTGCCTTTTTACCAGCATTATTTCTGGCTTAGCGAGGTGAAGGATTGCCTCGGCCGGGTATCGGACCTCAGACCATGTGCATGGTCGGCGAGCGTCCTAACCACTGTGCCACCGACGCGCACAGTATTGTCATACACGCGTATTAATCCACTCGGGGAGAACAAAAACAACACTGGTTGGTTATTAACAATGATCACAAACTGATTTCGGTTAGGGAACCATTGGAAACCAAGGAGTACTAGAAAGTTATTTCGTCCTAATTTGGATCTTTTCAAAAGCATGCACATATGATCAGGTTATCTGAGATAGGATCCGGGACGTTCAGACTAGGATCAACTGGAAGTTCCTGGGTTCGACCCCTGATTGAGTTGAAGGTGTGTACGGATACAGTCACAGAATAGGAAGAAACAACGGTTCGACCCTCGTTGATATCTCTAGTGGATGTTTGGTTCTTGAAGAATCCTACCCTGAAAGTATTCATTCAAAATAAAGAAAATTCATCAGTCATATGCCATACTACTTACATCGAATTCCGGATCTGTCGGTTCAATAAATTCATCCCACAAACGTGGAGGGACAACTTGTACAGGAATAAAATGCCAAACAGAACGTGGACGACCTGTAACACTTGACTATATTTGAAAAAAGAAATTGAAAAAAAACAACTGTTAGTAAGGCATCTCATGAAGTATAACTTCCATTGGTTGATGGAAAGAGTTGAGTAGGGCGTCTTTAGTAATGAATCAACATACTTCTATGTACTACTAATTAAAAGTATTTGTATACACAAAACTTGAGCATCCATTGTTTTATAAAGTATTCTCAGATGTTGACTGTTGGATCTTTTGAAGCACTGCAACTAAAAGGAAGCAAGCATCATCAACAGGAGATATCTATCTAAAGGAAGTTGTCTCTTTCACTTCTGTCTGTCTGTTTTCGACATAGAACTTGGCACCGATGTGTGGCAGCTCAAGTCGCCACACTCTCCACTCCTTGTAGCACACAAAGCAAGAGAAAGTAAAAAGAAATGCATAATAAAGGAAGTAAACAGAGGTGTGAGACAAAGGAATAGTAATAATGAAGAACAGTATAGTTACATTGGAAATCATAAGTCCCAAGGAGTAGATGTATCTGGACCACCCATTGAGAACGATTTTCAGCCATATCACCTACTGTTTCCAACCATTGGTTTTTACCATCCCGAGGACCCCAACCAGTCAGGAAGCCCACACCTTCCTACGTAGCTGGTTTTAACTAACTGTTATAGATTTCATTGACTGGTTCCATGTTTTGGTATGACAGCCGCTGGCTAGCTCTTTTCCAGCCTGATTCATCCTATGTCAGCTGACATTGCCCATAGTCGAGGAAGGCGATGACTAGGCATACGTAATACATGTCGTAACCATCTCAGTCGATGTAGCTTCACAGCCTCGTCGATTAATTTCCCCTCCTTACCTAGCGCCGACCAATAGCTGCTATCTTGACGTGGTGGTCGGGCTTGCACATCGCGATGACCCAACAAGCTACACTGACTGGAACTAGTGTTCATGCAGGTCCTACCATACCAGGAAGGTTGTTAGGATAGCGATTAGACTAAAAGCAGTTACCGGCTCAGTGTAAGAATCTTTCTTACACTATGCTGGGGGTTTGAGGGCGTAGTCGTACTCCTGGTGAACAGGAGTGTCACAGCAGTGAGGTGTTTCCCTCAGATGACCAGCATGTCAGTCAGCCACCCATGCTGTCTCTCCACTCCGGAGGGAGGGGATTAGAAAATGTCGACCCCCAAAAAATTGTACATCCCGACTTACCCTACGATGGTCCGTAACCGGCGGTAAGTTTACTAATACGGAACCAATCCCGGAAACTAGTTCACACAGGACGTGTGTGACCAGCTTCAAGCAGTTGTCCCCTGAGCTCTGCGGTCACGCAACACTAACCCTCTTTCTGTTTCAGGTACCCGAAGAATTAATCAACTTCCACGGTGTGAGTAACCGGGAGGTAACAACCGCCCACACACTTCCAACAGCACACGAAGCTCGCTGAGCATCATTCTCCTTTACTCACATTACCTTCTCTTTCACTTACCACCTGGGCAGCATTGATTTTACTGCAGGAGGTGGGATAGATGAAGATGTCAAAGTCAGTCAGCTGCGGTGGTGTCGGGAAAACAAGCAAGGCAGGTGTTCATTAATCTGAAATTTGAGTATGACCTTGGCGGCCTGCTTAAATCTTGGGCTACCAATTACGTTAAACATTACAATTCATATTGCATCTAATTTCTCATTTCTAATTGATATTTTAATCAATAAATCTTATTCATTATTCTATTCTATTCTATTGTTTATAGATATACAGCACTCACTCAGCACAAGTAACAAGATCTGAATTTTTAACATAAATAATTAGTCGATGCTTTTATGTAATTCGGAGACTTGACTTACGCGTCCCCGAAATCACTTCCAACAGGCTGTACACTTTCAGCGACGGCTGACTTCGTTAGATACTGAAAAACAGATGCCCATAAGCGATGAGCAACGAGGGACTCTAAAAGCAAATCAACCGAGAATATATTACTCAACACGCATTCAGGAGGAATTAGAGGTGGATTGCAGAGATACTGAGGAAATACTCAAAAGATACAGCAAGCCAGCCCGTTGAATGGAACTCGAAAAGGAATTGCCGAGATGGGCTTCTGATTGTGAGAGAGAATGGAGGTTTGTAGGCAATTGTGCAGCCAGTTAAGAGTGATGGCCTACAGCAGATTACAATAGATTGGTGTGCTACTGAAGTCCTATGTTCGACTGTGGACCCAAGAGACGAATAATAATTATGGCAAGCTTAGAAGTTAGTTGGTGGATAGTGACTAGCAGTGGAGTCCAGGATACGCGTTTTGTGTTATTTGGGACTCATCATCTGGATGTACCTGCATTCCGCAGTGATTGATGATGATGTTCCCAACGAGACTGGAACCCAGTGTCTTACCCAGACACTGTCGAAGCATCTGTACAAGAAGCCGACATGTCAACCTGAGACCGAGCACTTCGGTTCAATCAATCGACGGGAAAAATCTAAAAATTGAATTAAATAATGACAGGCTTAGTTTACAGACTATTATTTGTATCAACATTTACTAACCTGTTCTAATTCAATTGCTAAACAAGGCGTTTTACGTCGAACCAGTTTAATTTTCAGGCCAAGTAATCGACAAGTAGACTGATCAAATGTATTCACCATTCCAGTAATAGAATTCGACCCAATTCTTGATTTATTCATGCCTGAGTTAGATGAAGAAGTTGTATTGTACAATGAATTGTGACCAGCAGCAGATTGTGCATTTGAACGAATACAATGCAGCAAATGATCAATAATCACTTCGAGGAATATTTCATCTTGATCAGGCGAAATACCTTCACATATACGTTCAGGAAACAAGACTGCCTACAAAAAAAACACAGTAATTAGTCAGTTAACGAAAACTTGAATTCGCCTTTTTCAAGTTGATTGAGAAGTGATTTCAGTTAGATAGCCACAGAGTGTTGGGCAGCTGTTTTGTCCTAGGCTAGGACTCTTCATCAATACTCACCCATGACCCCACCACCAAGGAAGGATCAAACCCACTATACACAGGTTCTCAGGTAAACAAGTCCACCACTCAGCCACTTGGATGGAATCCAGGCAGCTATTATCATCGACGAGTGTCTGTCTTCACACCCAACTTGATGGACACCGCTGGTCACGACTTCCTACTAGGAATTCATGCAGCCGCATCCTGTAGTTAGTTGCTAGGATGCCATAAACTAGTTTTCGAGCGTTGATCTGCAGGGATCTGATTAGTTGCAAGTTTGACTACGGATTGAAATCATGTAAAGAACCATTGGAAACCAATAAGTACTAGATAACTGTTTCTTCCTTGCTTGAGGCTCTTCAGCGACACACACCTGTGACTCCCTGATTTTTAATGGTCCCCAAATTGAAGTCAGTTCGTGATCAATCAATCAATCTTGAAATCAATCAAACTGCATTAAAAAAATATATTTTTCTAGTACTTGGGATCGCGATCTGGATCATGTCTGATTGACTGACTGGAATATCTTTAAATTAGGCGATTCAATATCATCACTCCCTATTAGTTAAGTTTATTTTATATGATAACAGTGAGTGTGATACCATGGTAATCAATTGATGACTTTTCGAGCCAAGTTTTTACTCATATTCGTATCAGCAAATCTATTGACACACAGGGAGAGAGAGATGTGGCATCATTTCGATTGCACATGTTCGGTGTTGATTCGAGGAACGAAAAAGCCAGTAACTTTGTGAGTTTACTTAGTGATCTGATTCGATCAGGTGTTCCAGAATAGAGCTTCGAGGGGGGACCTTTTTTCTTCTTTATAAAACCATGATTGTGGATAAGTGTTCAATACAATACGTTTGGATAGCGAACGGTTGGCACGGCCGACGTACCTAGCTCCTCACGAGCAGGTGAATTGGTTGATACACATTGATGAGGTTGGCCGATAGTGGTAGCTAATCCTTCACGTTCATACGAATCATTGATTTTGTAGAGAAGGTTAGTCGGAGTTCAGTCGCAAAGAAGGTTTTCTTTAGTGAGCAGGACAGGTGGTTTCTTAGTATTTTTGCCAATGAGTCTCCATTGAATTGTAGATTCAGGTAAAGAAGTAATTTCTGGAGCAGAGAGTGTGAGCGGTATTGGTAGTTTAGGTTTCATAGATTTTGTGATAAAACGTTCTCGGTAGCCACTTCAGTTATATGCAAAGAACGAACTTATAAGGCAAAGCTGAAACTAGTCGGAATGCGGTAGATAAGCTTAAATGTCTTGTTAACATCGACTTTAAAATTCAGCAACTATAAGATGCGCTACAAATAGACTTTGTTTGTTCCTTGGTCAACCAACCAAAACACGATGATGAACATTTTAAATAGTACGTCCAATACAGGTAGCTTTAAAAGAGCAGTCAAACTGGTAGATACGCATAAAGGAGGTGAAATTAAATAGCTCATCCCTTACTCTTTGTGAACGTAAAATAAACAGGAGTGGTTGTGAAAAAAACAGTGAACTCCTGCTACAGGGGATGTTTTTTTACTGCGTTCTTTAGACGTTGTGTTATTATCTCACTGATGTTATCACTAAAAAACTGCCTTTTTTGAAAGGAACATTAATGTTGTCAATAACGATTACGCTTTAAGTGTTGGTTTGTAGGAATTTGATTGGTTACAGGATTTCATCATGAGCTGACATTGATTAGAGAACCATTGGAAAACCAGCTCGGAGTACTGGAAAGTTGTTCGTCCTAGTTTGGACTCTTCATCAGTGCGCACCCACCAGGGTTCGAATTCAGGACCTCTGGTTACAAGGTGAGTTCACATACTTGCCGAAGACATTGGTTGGGGTTCGCGCTATGTCATGAATTGGCAGAAGTTAGAATTCATGTGCAATAGGATCGGGTCCCAGTGGCTTAATGGTATACGAGCTCGCCTTGTAAACAGAAGGTCCTGGGGTTCGAACCTGTGTGGTGGGTGCGTACTGCTGAAGAGCCCCAAACTAAGACGAAACAGATGCCCAGTACTCCCAGCTGGTTTTCCAATGGTTCTCTAACCAATGTCAGTTCATGATGAAATCCTGATAACGCTTTAAATTTTGTGTGTGTATTATATAACTGTGGAGCCAGATGTGAAGAAGTTCACTTTCCCTTAATCTTTTACTTGCCTTTTTATATATTTAAATAGGAATTTTCGTTATAATTAAAATACATACTGCAAATGTCAATTTGGAAATAGTAGCAGAAGCTTACATGTTCTACATCACACCATGCTGTAATCCCACCGAATACAATACGTTCTTTAATAGCAAATGAAAATTGACCTTTATTCAAGCGTAGAATAACATTTTTCGCTAGTCCAGCCATCATTTGTACAATACCTGTGAAGAAAAGTAAGTTAAAAAAAGGGTGTTATAACTCAAATGTGAAATATTTATCTATAAATATGGACTTTTCTACACGTATCCTAAACCAGGAGAGATGGTTAATAACCTCTTACAGAATTCTAAAAGCTCATTCACCCATACCGTACAAAGGTAGGTAAAAGGGAGAGTAAAAGCTATTCAAAAGGATCTCGAGACTCCAATCAGGCTGTTCTGAATGGCTGGTTAAAACCAACAGTCAAAGACCTCAAAAACTGATGCATCTTCATATATTCAAAGTTTTGAACAGCGCCCATCCTAATATTAAGTTTACAATGGAGTCTGAAAAAGGGGAGAAGTTCCATTTTCTTGACCTGGGTATCAAATAAGATATAGACGGCAAAATTATAAGATATATACACAGAAAAGAGACCTGGAGGGCGGTTTATCTTAGCCTCAAAAGCTTCTACCCTATAAGTTACAAAAAGGAATTGGTGAGAACATTATTTGATCGTGTATGGAAGTTGTGTTCAAAAGAAAAGATTGAGGAAGAGCTATCCATTGTGGAGAAATGCCTACGCGACAATGGTTACCCACAAAAGTTCATCGACATGTATGGGAGACGTCATGTTGAAAAAATGAAAAGCAGCACAGTAGAGAAAAAGCCTATCTTTCTGCAGCTTGCATTCAAAGGTGATGATACTGCTAGTAGAATAAGATGCAGACTGAACGCTGCCCTGAAAAGAACATATCCAGCCGCCAAGCTTGTATGTGTTTATCAAACAACTAGTTGTTTGAGACAATCAAAAGTGAACAAATACCCACTTCGTGTTATCTCCAACTGTGTCTATCAATTTACATGTACGTGCCAAAGCAAATACATTGGAAGAACAGAGAGAAGGATTATTGTCCGCATTTCTGAACACATACCAAAGAACCTGAGACCGAAAGGTCGGCAAGCATTAAACAGTGCGATTGTGCGTCATCTATTGGACACTGGTCATATTGTAGACAACCTGAAGTCGGTCAAAATAATTAACAAGCAAAAGAAACCCAGCTTGCTACGCTTTGTTGAAGTAATTGCTATCAAACGACTCAAACCAAATCTATGTACGCAGAAAGAGACAGTGGTGAATCTTGCACTGCCCTGGTGGTAAGAAACTAAATATACAACTTTTGTGAGTCACCCTTTTTCTTGTTTAGGAAATTCTACTCTCTCATCTAAACATGACTCACCCTACCTTGTTTCTTTTCATTCCTTTTTTCTATTGGTTATTAGACAAGATGCTTTCTTTAGTTACGTAATCAACTTTTTTGTTATGCTCTTTCTAGCTAAACCTTGTTTCTATACCCACACATATATACGCAACTTTGTTTTTTGTTTACAAGCCTAATTGTCTAATTATTTATTCTATAAATAGTCAGTGTTTGTAACTCTTAATTAGTTATATCATTCCGGAATAATGTTACTTTTACTTCCTACCAACCAATTACTCCTTGTGATGGTGGAAAAGTATGTTCAAATCTTTAATGTAATTCATATTTTTGATCGTTCAGATTGTAACCAGTTGAGAAGAATCCTCGAAATAATAAAAGATGAGCTCATATTATCCTGGTACAATTGTTGTTCTTGCTTTATTCGACAGGTTTTGGTTTGAATACCCCTAACTCTTTTCTAACCTAATCTGATGTCGGCTAACATTGCTTGTCGAAGAAGGCGATGGTTTAGTATGCGCAACACGTGTCCTAGACATCTAAATCGGTGAAGCCACACGACTTGGTCGACTAACTTACCCTTCTTATCAAACACTATACGCTTAACCTAAATATTACTCACCATACCGTACCACTTAATGCGAAAGACAGAACTCATATCTTCATGTCTTTCACTTTTGACAGTCATGTTCCACAGGCGAAAAGAAGGAAAAAGTGAACTGCTGTGTAGTACACCAGCCTTCTGATCGATAGCCGGATATTACGTCTACGTCAGAAGTAACGTTAGTTAATGAATACCACATGGCACTTTTGTATCCACGCTGCGATACCATCAACAATCAGTCGATTAGGGTTAGCTTAGAGAACTTCCCAAACAGTTGAAGTGGTCAAAACATTCAGCCACTTGAATCCCTATCTTTAAAGTAAGATTTAGTGTGGTGTAGTCCTGTAGAATCATCTTGCATTGACAGGATCAAATTGCATGCCGAACATTCGCAAATTTCTGCTCACTATGTTTTGAGAAGATTGTGCAATTTACCAACGTCTTCACCTACAAAGACAACATAATCCGGATACTCTGAATCGACGAGACACCTACATCAACAACAAGTCAATCTCTAAGTTGCTAAAGTTGATTACGGTAACATCGGTTAGTATATCTGTGGTGAGAGCTGTCTGCAAGACAAAACTGTAGAGAACAAATGACGTGAATGTTCAAGTCGCAAATCTTGGCCATGAGAAAAAGCAAGAACAAAGCTTAACCTTGAGGAACTTAACAATCAATCACAGCAGACTTAGCGTTTGCAAATACGATTCGTAGATATATCCTGTGACCTTCAAAGAAACGGTCACAAAGAGATGACAGAATAACTTCCAGTGAGAAAAGGACCAATCAGAAGACGATGTTTCTCTGCTAATAATAACGAATAATAATGTACATAAAAATATATAAATATCTCCTAATTTCCCCAATAAACGAGCTGTTGCCTGGCCTTGTCTTCTGTCGTTACATAACTACGACGAAACTAAAGAAAAATGAAATCAGTAGGCATCCCTAACGGGACATCACTGGTTGTCAACAACTTCAGATGACAACTCTCGCTGTAAGTTCTTACACGCCTGTGTGAATTCAATTATCCAAGGTCGAAAGCCTCTAACTCATCAGCTAATTCACGTATTTCTACCAACGAATTTTATTATACACTAGAGAAGTCTTTGATAATATCAAAACACCGTGTCAACAGACATTTCTTCAAAATGAAACAATACAGAAGACTTTAAGCTCTGAATGAGGATCATTTCTTAGCTTTGGTATTATGAAGGGACTGTTGAAGATTTCACCATGTAAGCTATATGATCAAAAACATCTACAGTCAAATATCAAAGTTAGGAGAACTGTTTTATTGATAATAATTTAAAAATAACAGAACTAAGAACAAGATACTGAAAAAGGTGTAAACTAACTAACCTGAGAAATATTCAATACATCCCGGATCATTTGTTTTAATGCGGAATTTCATTTACAATAGTTTGTAGCTAGTAATCAAGAACAAGGAGAAAACAGAATGAACAATTATTGATGAGAAACGTATTGAAATGATACAATCAATGCAAGCATGTATATAAACACATATATATGCATTCGTCGATGGTATAGCGGTTAGGACGCTCACCGACCATGCACATGGTCTGGGGTTCGATCCCCAGCCACCGACTCACTCCCTTACCTCGCTGAGCCAGAAATAATGCTGGTAGAGAGGAAAGGTTGGGCATGAACCTAGCAACTCCATCCTGTAAAATCAACACTGCTACAGAAACTTCAAGCCACTAGCTTGAAGCCCCATGTTCCACTGGGAACGTGAAAGGAAAAAAAATTATATATGCATTCAGTCTTTAACATCGACATTGCATGACACACTCGTTCAAGACGCGTATTGCTGATCAAAAGGCGTGTGTACTGCTCAGCAGTTCGTTGTGTACTCCCTTATGGCTGTGAGTGGGACATGGACATTGATAGTAGAAGACATGAAAAGCCTGGCTAGGTGCTTTCGATTATAGGTACACCTACGTTCTATCTAAATCCCGTGTTAGGTGGTATAAAGAGATGAGCAATAATGAGGTAAGGCACCAGTCGAGTGTTAAGTGAGGAGGAAGGCGAAATCAATCAACGAGGTTGTGAAGTTATACCGATTGAGTTGGTTAGGACAAGCGTTATGCATGCATCCCTAGTCATAGTGCAATGTTAGCGCTGATATAGGATTGATGAGGTTGGAAAACAACTAGTGGTTGTCAAACGGAAACACGGCTTCATTAGTCAATCAAATCCATAACAAGTGTTGGTTTGTAGGGATTTGATTGGTTACAGGATTTCATCATGAGATGACATTAGTTAGAGAACCTCTAGAAAACCTAGGAGTACAGGACAGCTGTTTCCTCCTAGTTTGGGACTCTTCATCAGTACGCACCCACCGCCAGGTTTCGAACCCAGGACCTTCCGGTTACAAGGCGAGCTCGTATATCATTAAGCCACTGAGACCCGATCCAATGGCTCATGAATTCTAACTTCTGCCAATTCACGACATAGCGCGACCACTAGCCAATGTCTTCGGCGAGTATTTGTCCTCACTCGCATTAGTGAGTTATATGATGCAACAGTCAAGTGGACTATGCTTAGGTTAGGATGAGGAAGATAGAGGGAAGAAGAGAGAGAGAGGGATGACGTCACCGGTATTCATCGGCAAGACCTGACTGACTAACTAGTTTCAGTGTAGAACTTTGCACAAATATGCAGCAGTTTGAGTCGCCTCATTTCCCGTAGCACATAAAACAAGAGAAGAGAGTGAAGAGAGATTCAAAAGACAGATAATAAATAGGAGTGTCAGTGAAGCGAAAAGAATAGTAATGTGAAAGAAGAACAGATTTTTATTGGATATTATAAATCACAAAGAGTGAATGCATCTGCCCCAGCCATCAGTGAGAACGACTTTGTGTCATATCACCGATTGTCTTCAGCCTTCGTTGGTTCTTACCATCCCGAGAACCCTAACCAGACAGCCGAACAGTATACACCTTCCGACGTGGCTGGCTGATCTAAACTAACTGTCATGGATTTGTTACAGGATAACCAACGCTTGACAATAGAGTCTATTTCATGCAGCTTAGAAGTTGTCAACATACTGTGAACAGCGCAGTGGCAGTAGTGACAATGAATCCTTAGTGTGCCGCCAATCAAATCAGGCATTCTGTAGTGATGTAAACCGTTTATGCAGTGAATCGATATATGAAGAAAACTTCACTCGTCAATAAGGTTTGGAACATCATTTGGAAAAGAAACGCGAAGTCACAAGTCTTACAGGTGATATAATTGCTGAAAATTACAAATCAGCATTTTTTTGATGTGGTTGTGTCCTCTGAGCTGGATAGTTAATTTGAGAAGCTAGGGTAGGTAGGTTGCGGTGTGCACCGACCTGGAGTCGAACCTCGGACCACGGGCATTCTACCTCCGGACCGTCGATGCACCTAGGAATTCGAGATTACTTAGGACGTCTAATACTCTTCATATTAAACATCTCTCAAAGCGAATATCATTTCAGCTTTTGAGGTGCATGCCTTTATAGATGATGAAATATATTCACACTATATGGTTAACATTGCCTATCTCGAGGTGTATACATCTGTGTATTACCATGTAGTGAATTTTACCGCTTGAATTATTTGTTATCTTCTTTAGACCTTTATGCTTATCTCTAGCAGCTGCTTATTGTATACATATCAAGTTAACTTCTAGGCCATAGACTAATGTAGTGTACAATGCCGATTTAGATACGATAGAGAAGATTTGTAGCTCAGGTGGATGATTTTGATGTGGTTGTGTTCTCTGAGCTGGATAGTTAATTTGCGAAGCTTTCATCGCTCGCCCTACTAGGCGACATCTTCCTTCAGCGCATACACTTCAATCTCTTGAAGTGAGCTTTTAGATTTCTCCACGAGTTAATCAGTCATCTCTCCTGGTGAGTGAACTTGGACGTGATTGGTTGTTTTTGTGTGTTTTCACGCCTTCCAGCTTACTTGTATTGAAACTGAATTTTTCTATGACTTCAACTTTGACCGTTTGTGTATGAAGTTTCTTTGTTATGGGTTGACAAATTTTGTCTATCTCGATGTGTCCATTGATTGATGACTCACTGGAACATCATCTACAAAATAAATTGTAACAACTGCGAAAAACACTAAATTGGCCAAAGTGGACGTCCCCTTCGTCGTCTTCGTATCCACGAACATAAGCTAGTCGTCAAAAGACATGAAATCCACTCCATCACTCATATCACTACATACAGACAACCACGGACATCAATTCGACTGGGGCAACCAACGTTCAAATATAAGACAGAGGAAACAACAAGAACGCTACAGAAGTTTTAGAAGCCAGCCTGGCATTCCAGTGAATCGTAAATTAATAGACACATCGAGATAGACAAAATTTGTCAACCCATAACAAAGAAACTTCATACACAAACGGTCAAAGTTGAAGTCATAGAAAAATTCAGTTCCCATACAAGTAAGCTGGAAGGCGTGAAAACACACAAAAACAACCAATCACGTCCAAGTTCACTCACCAGGAGAGATGACTGATTAACTCGTGGAGAAATCTAAAAGCTCACTTCAAGAGATTGAAGTGTATGCGCTGAAGGAAGATGTCGCCTAGTAGGGCGAGCGATGAAAGCTTCGCAAATTAACTATCCAGCTCAGAGAACACAACCACATCAAAATCATCCACCTGAGCTACAAATCTTCTCTATCGTATCTAAATCGGCATTGTACACTACATTAGTCTATGGCCTAGAAGTTAACTTGATATGTATACAATAAGCAGCTGCTAGAGATAAGCATAAAGGTCTAAAGAAGATAACAAATAATTCAAGCGGTAAAATTCACTACATGGTAATACACAGATGTATACACCTCGAGATAGGCAATGTTAACCATATAGTGTGAATATATTTCATCATCTATAAAGGCATGCACCTCAAAAGCTGAAATGATATTCGCTTTGAAGAGATGTTTAATATGAAGAGTATTAGACGTCCTAAGTAATCTCGAATTCCTAGGTGCATCGACGGTCCGGAGGTAGAATGCCCGTGGTCCGAGGTTCGACTCCAGGTCGGTGCACACCGCAACCTACCTACCCTAGCAGGCTGTAAGCCTGATGACCAACCAGGGAAGGTTGGGCGTGAGGCCGACAATCCCACCCCGTAAAAGCACCACTGTTACTACAATTTCAAAGCTAAATCTCGAATAGTGAGAAAGTCTAAGAACAAATTAGAACACAGAATAAATAAGTAACCACATAATCTCTTGTTTTGAATCCTTGCATAGAGAGATTCAAGTTTCGAAGTTACAGTACGAGCGATGTTATTATTTTTACGGTGTGGGGCTGTTAGCCTCGAGTCCAACTCCCCCTCTTCCTTCAACTTGCCACAGTCTGAGCGAGGTTGTTAGGAGTGAGGGTGATAAGATTGGACCTGGACCTCCAGCGTGGCTGGCGAGCATTCTACCACTGAACGCCAGACACTATAAGCTATTTACCAATTATTATTATTCTTATTATTATTTTATCGTTCCCTTGGGTTCCTAGTGGAACATCGGGATTCAACTGCACCTCTCAACTTGCTTCTGTCTTTTGCTATACTTTTCACCTACATCCATATTAGTCCATACTCTTTCAACTCCTCTTCACACTATCTCCTCCATGTCACCCTTGCACTGACGTCCCACTCGCCGCTTCCCTTTCGGCCTGGTTCCACTCGAGCAATGGCCTGACGCGCATGCAATGTCACCCAGTGGCGGCCTCCTTAGCGAGTGTCCAATCCATCACCATCCACTTCCTCCTGCATATTTGTTGGTTGGCGATTGCTTCTTGTTTTGTTTGTTTGTTTGTTCCCATAGTTTCTTGTTGGTGATTCTTTCCAGCCCGGCCCGGCCATCTGATCTTCAGTATAGATCCAGAGAAGACAGTTGTTGGTTGATGAAGGTCTGCAACAGGCTGTTGGAAATATTCTTTGTGACCCACTCGCCAAGTTTCTGATCCGTATAGAAGAACTAACTGACTTGACGTTGTTTGTATTGAAAATCCGACCGAATTTTGTTGTTGATGCTGGCTGAGTGACGAAGATTTCCAGATTGGCTCCAGGTTGATGAATGCGTTTCTTGCTTTTCCGATTCTCGCTCTATTTGACATCCTCGTCCGTTCCGACTTCCTGTAGTTGAGACAATGCTGTCTAGATAAGTGAAGTGAATGAAGTAACCTCTTTCAAATCCCTCCCATTGATGGTGATTGGCGCTGGATGTTGCTGCTGCTACTGTTGTTGTTGTTGGTTGGTTATTTTCATGACCTCCGTCTTGTCTATGTTCACCTGGAGTCCTGTCTTTGCTGATTGTAATGGCCATTTTATTAATAAAACGAAAACTCGAACTCTGACAGACAGTTTCCTAGATGCATATTCAATCTGGCTTTTGGAATTAGATTTGATAGCTTAT